AAATGTCTTAAATTCATTAGAAAATATGCAACTTTGCCTTAAATATGTTGATCACAGGTCTTAAATTTTGTCGTGGCAGTACTATTTAATCTCGTAACTTCTTTTTTTTTATATTTATTTATGATTTTTTTTGTAGTTTGGCACATCAGGCTCACCAAAAAAAGTCAGCCCAATAAAAGTTGTCAGTTTGAAACATCAGGTATCCTAAACAGAAATAAGAACAAACAACAAAACAAAACAGAAATTAAAAAAAACAGTCTGTAATTGTTTTCAGGGACTTAAAGTATTTCATAAAAGGCTTCCATACTTGTCAAAACTTGTAAATTTGCTGTAGTTTATTTTCCTCATGGGACTTTTCAGTCAGGCTACCGCTAACTAGCTGCTAATAAGCTATCGCTAACTTTTTTGCTAACTGTGAATTATCACCAGTTGTCTTTGCCTCTGGCTCATTTCTCTTGCCATTATGTATGATAAATATGCCAAAGGTTGGCACTACTATATAAAATACTTTCTTTTTCAATTTTCTGTCATGATACAGGTCTTAAATTTCATTCATAATGGTCTTTCAAAGGTCTTAAAACCCTGAGGTTTTAAATCTTGAAGTAAGATTTGGAAGCATATCATAAATAAACAAACAAAATCAGATAAAAATGTGCAAGTGAGCTATTAGCTTTTAGCATTGTTGCAGAGAATGAAAATTATCAGAAAGAAATGCTTGAAAAATATCAGTCTTTGTGTAACGACTCTACCTAAAAGACAAGTTTCACTTTTTTTGACTTTCAAAAGTTCAAATCTATTGAGATGCACCTGTACATAACAGTCCTAAGGAAAGTTTTGGGTTTTTGAAAATGAATATCCTCACTTGTCATTCGTCATGATGTCAGAAAGACGTTTTTTGTTGCATAGGAGAAGGAATGATGAATTTTACTTTGTGAAGATGAATAAATTCTCCTTCCTGCCGTCCGTTCTGGTGTCACCGGCGCTGCGGCAGGACATGGAGGCGTGTGATTGTGTGCAGCCTGGTGGAAGACGTCCTGTCAAATGAGACATGGCTCCATCAATCTACGCCGCTGACCTTTCCACGCTCACCGGCGGGATAAATGAATTCCCTCCACCATGTTCAGAACGCCCAATGAATCCAAACCATTGCTGCCTCTCGACTGGCCATACTAATGAATGAATGCATCACTTTTAGTATTACCACACATGCGCGTGTGCAAGAAACAGTTTGCAAAGAAAAAACTTATAGAAGCGTCTGTAGAAGACAATGCAACCCTTCTTTAGTCTCGAGTCTACATTGATGGAGCTCTTTGTCTCCACACTTCTGCACCGAGAAGTGTATTCTGTGGAGGTTGAATTGGGAGATAATGGGACTCTTAATTGGCTGGGCTTTTACAAAATGGATGGCTGTTTAAGTTTCAAGGGCAGCGCTTGGTCTATAGTGTGGCTCTGAAAGGACTGAATGGAAATGTAACTCCTGCATCTGAGAGAACAACGAGATGAGAAAAGAAATGGGCTCCAGTGGCTTCTTACATGCAGATGATTATGAATACAAATGTGTTTTTCTTGCTCCGGACTTTGCTCATTGTTGGTTTTAATTTAAAAAATAGCGACCTTAAATAGGTTTCAGATACGGTCCTGCATTCCTTAGGATTTTAGTAACAAAATGTAAGTTTAAAGATCACCTGTTATTCTTACTTGAAGAGGTTTCTGGGTTATAGTAAAAATTTAATTAAATTTTTAGCGCAAAATCAAAATCATAGTCTGCTCAATTCTACCTGAGCTGTTTTAGGGTGTCTTGTCTCTTTAAATCCAAATAAGCTGCTGCAGGCCACGCCCCCCAACTCAACATTTACACCCGTACGTGAAAATGGCTGCAAATGGATGTAAAATTATACATCTGTACATCTTTGAAAAACAGAAGTGGAGCCTCCTGCACAACCAGCAAAAATGCAGCAAGTCAACAACAAAACGTGTCTTTTCCAGCAGCCATTGTACAGCACATAGAGCAGTAAAGACAGTTGACCAAATGTGCTGGAGCTCTGCTTTGGTTGCTGGGTAACAGCAAAGTGGTTGTTTTTGAAGTGGCTTATTTTCCAGACACCAAAAAACCAGTGTGTTTTGTTTTGTTTTTTTTAGATTTTGAGCTGTTTTTAGAGGCAGTTGACACACAAATGGAAGCACAAAAACATGCTAAATTTAAATTTTGCATTATAGATCCCCTTTAAGCTGACTTGATGTAGATATAATTTTTAAAATCCTTACAGAACAGCTTTTAATGAATGACTGTTGTCCTGCTTTATCATGCTTTTTTAAGTGCTACATGCTAAGTATTCTCCTTTTATGATTTACTTGATTCCTCTAAAATGTCTTTGAGTGTTTAAAAAATCGCTATACAAATAAAATATATTGCTATTACTATATCCGGTTCAAGGAAGCGTAATAACGCCACAACCACCAGAATCAGACGGGTACATTTCAGCATCAATAGCTGTTGTTCTGACACAAAAGTCACTTTGCCATTTGGATTTCTTGGTTGTTACCATTCAGGACTGGCTTGAGTAGGAAGATTATATAACTTTTTACATTTAATTTTTAAAGTGAACAGTTTCACATTGGAGGTTTAACGTTCCCACTCAGATGAGAAGAACTCGGCCGAGGACGGACCGCACCATCCAGAAAGGAGCAGCCATGTTCTGATGGACGGAGAGCGAGTTGAGGAGCGGGACGAGGCGATGGAGGAGAGGAAAACCAAGGCGCTGAGCTTGCTCTCCAAGCTGCAGGACAACGCCCCACAGCGGAGCAAAACCAGCAGGAGCCGCTCCAACTTTGAGGACTGTGAGTTTATCCTGACACTTTCAGCATTTCTAATTTAAACACAGTTTGGTAGAAACTAGCTACATTTACTCAACTACATTTATTTGAGTAACTTTATAACTTAATTAAAAATATGTTGAAGTAGTGTTACTTGGTTACTCTGTGGACCTCTGAATTTAAATAATAAAGCAGAGACCGATTTAATGAAACAGATGATTAAATGCTGAACTAAAACTAGGAATGACCTGAAATCTGAATTTTTTCAACATAAAAAACAACTACAATAAGGAAATGAACAAATTCCAGATTCTGTTGAATAAATCCTTCCTTCCTTATTATTTTCCCTTTCATTTGTAATAAAGTGCCATTATTACATTTAGCAGCGCATATATGAGATTGACTGACAGCGCTAAGACCCTCCTCCTGGCTCTGATTGGTTGCTTTTGACAGCAAACCAATCAGGGAGGAGAATATTACTCTTAATGTCACAACATGGTGACAGTTTTAATAAACACAGATAAAACATATTTTTGTAAAATTTCCTTACTCTAAAATCACAAAAATACATATTTATATGAAGGTTTTTTTGTACTTTAACGAGATTTACACTTAATTAGTTAAATAGTGGTATTTCTAAAGCTTAAGATTACACAATCAGTGGTTTATTTTTGCCTCTGAGTCTCTTTGTTTGTCCTCATGCGTTGTTTGTGGGTTCATTAAAATGCTTCTGCCTTTCAGTCCACCGTCTGCCACCGGTCCAGACTCTTGTGGCCCCTCATTAGGCTCTGAAAGGGACTAACGGGTTTTAATTGGTCTTGTTTCATCCAACACTGACTGCTTGCCCGTGGATTCCCAAAATTCTCCGCTCCCCCCGCGCACACACACGCCAGCAGCTTCCTGTACTCGGCCACCCATCGTCAACCAGCCCAGTGACCCGGCGGTTCAGCGCCGGTTAGCGGGAGCCGCCATGTGGCTCGTGTCTGAAGTCAACAGTCACTGATGAAGAGAAGAAGAAGACAGTCTGGACACAAAGAGCAGATTCAGTCAGTTGGTCATTAAGCTGCTGGAGGAACGGCAGCGGAACGACCAACATCCAACCATTAAATCATCATCCAACCAACCATTAAATCATCATCCAACCATTAAATCATCATCCAACCAACCATTAAATCATCATCCAACCATTAAATCATCATCCATCCATCCAACCAACCAACCAACCAACCGTCCGTCCGTCCGTCCGTCCGTCACCTCACCCACCCTGTTTTTACCTAGCAACAACCTGTTGAGTAACTTGCGCTGCAGCAGTTTCAGGATTCACCACCATACCTCATAGCTGCTTAAAAAAAAACAAAAAAAACAATGCCACCAGTTTGGCAGTATTTTAGATATCTAAAACAAAAAACTAATCAATAATTATCAATATCAACTGATATGAAACACTTATATCATCCAGCCCTAAAAGTAGCGATAGTTCATAGTAAAAATACTTATGTAAACCCAGAACGTACAAAAAAATCCTCCTAAAAGTATATTTTTTCCAAAAAGTTACTTTAGTAAACATAACTAGCAGCTCTGTATGGGACACCTGTCGGCGTTGGCTCGACTCCACTTTGTCTCCACCCACCATCAGCAGTGTATATCAGGGCTAACTTGTTTCCAAGCACTGAAACACAATAATAAACATCAAACGACAAAACCCAGTCGACTAAGAAGAGATGAGAGGAGGTTGTAGTAATGGGACCTCCTTCTGAAAACACACACACTCCTCTCAGTGAGTGTGTGTTCAGGTACACTGCCTTTATGCAATTCCTGTTTGCTCAGCCTTTGCTCTGCAATTATGTGTTTACCATTGGTCCCGAATAACTGGGCAAACAAACAGCTCGCCTATTGATGAGCGGCAGCGTGGAATATGGCCGCCGCATTCAGAGAGAGAGAGGGAGCGCGGAGTAAATCTGTCAAAGGCTCCATTATGTGGTGTCCAAACAGAGAGCGCCCTCCACAATGGCCTTATTAATGTGACAATGTCAAGGAGCGGCGGAGCAATAATAGCAGATGATTTTTCTTTATGAGGTTATCTCTGGAAATCTGCTCTCGCATTAAAGCAGATGATTTGGCCTACGGGAGTCGTATCGGCGACGATCTGAGCTGATTGGTCTAAAGTGTGTCCGTGTGTGTGCGGAAAGCGTGGGCTGCGGTTTGTGGTGAGCTGGATGGCATGCAGCCAGAGACAGGAGTGTGGCTGCTACGTGTGTCTTTGTTTGTTTTCCAAGCAGAGCCTGAACCCCCCTCAACACACACACACACACACACTTTGTGTTGTTGGAGAAAGTGCAGGGGCGGGGTTAGAGAGTTGTGTGTTTGTTTCAGGAAAACAGTGCGTGCGGGAGAATGTTATCGCCTTTCATATTGTGCCGACTCATTAAAGAAGTTCTGCTCTGATCGGATTTCTGTGACTAAAAACAGCTGCTGTACGTCTGTTGTACTTCATCAGATCGTTCCTCAAAGATCAACATTAAAAAATAATTTAAAAAAATAATATTTATATTTCGAGGCTCAGGATTCTAATGTAAAGCTGCAGTACACTGCAAAAACACAAACTCTTACCAAGTATTTTGGTTTAGTTTTTAGTGCAATTATTTTGTACACTTGAAATAAGACAAGCTAACTTAAAAGCTACTTTTCAGCAAAAATATAGAGGCTTGTTTTAAGTAAATAATTCCTTAACATTGATGAAAAATTACTAGTTCTACTGGCAAATTAATTAACTTACAACATGGGAAAAGTGGCTTGTTATAAGTTAAATAATCTGCCAATGGAACTAGAACTTTTTCATCAATATTAAGTAATTTACCTAAAACAAGTCTTCCTATCTTGCTATAAAAATTACTTGTAATAAGATTTGTCTTATTTCAAGTTTGCTAAGATATTTGCACTGGAAATGAGACCAAAAATACTTGGTAAGATTTTGTGTTTTTGCAGTGTATGCATCTTTTATCCAAAAGTGTTTTTTTTTTTACATTATCATGGTATAAACCAGATAATCCGTGAAAAAATCAAGTTCCTTTTCCTTCTCCCACTTCTAAGTGCAGAAACAACCAATCAGAGCCAGGAGGAGGGGTTTAGCGCTGTCAATCACTCTCTGCTAATGTAAAAAAAACACAATTTTATAATTGCTGTGTTTCCCTTAAATAAGAAACAGCATTAAAATTACATGTGAATAAGTTTAACACGATAAGTCATTAAAAACCATTCTGTGACATCAACCTCTCACCACTTCCTGTTTTCTTCTTCTTCATCTTTTCCAGCAGTAGTAATGTCTGATTGTTGATCCTGTGACTAAGGATGCTAATAAAGTGTTTCCATTGGAGATTTGCAAAATACACTAATTTCAATATAGACAAAAAACAACTTCATAGTAGCACAAAAACTCCCACTAAGCAAATTTATTTATGTAACGTTATGATCAACGGAAGTGCAGCTGTGACTGGACGGTGAACAGCTCTTTAGTTCTTTCTTGGTCAAAGCACAATTTTTGAGAATTAGTCAATTTTCCTGAGAAATTTGTAAAAAAAATTATCTAATTGAACTAAACTTGATTTAAATAAAGCAAATGCTGGACCACTATAAGTGAATCTATATCACTTTAATTATCAGAGTAAATTACCTTTTCTATGTTGTTCTGAATTTACTGAGCAGCACTTATAGTTTAGAGATGAATTTTGTTTTACATTTAAGAGCAAATCTGATTTTTTGTTGTTTTTTAAGAAATGTAAATTCCTAATTACTGAGAAAATTGAAATTATAGAGTAACTCAGTCTACTTTAATGTAAACTTAAAGATGCAGGATTGATATTTTGCGTCCTCCTTTCTGTCTTTATTCACTGTTTATAAGATCTGCACTTCACATCCTACACTATTGCAAACAGATCTGCATCGTAACACCTGTTGATTTGCAGGATAATCACATCAATAATAATACATAAAACATCCCATAAATCCATTTTTTGTAGCTTTTATACTCCTTGAACAGTTTAGACGTTGTGTGTAAATGTATTTTGTTGCCGTTAATCACATGTTGCTGTGGAAGTCGGCCATGCGCTGCATCGTTCTTCGGCTCTATAAAAGGGGGTCACCTCCTCCCTGCCGCTCAAAGCGACCTTTGTGTTGAATTATGGGACACTATAGACAGTGTGTTGACATACAAAAGTCTGGGATTAGGCGGGAAAGAGAGCAACAAACAAATTTAAAAAACGTTAAACACAAAGGAGCTTCTGTGTGGGTAATTAAAATAAACTCTCTTTACTTTAAAAATAACACTTTACTTTAAAAATAACAAATCAATTTAACTAGAAAGTGCAGATTTACAGTGGAGATTTTATTATTGAGCAATTAAATTCAAGTAAACACAAGATGACAGAAAAGTTTATAAATCTAATGTTGAACCAGATGTTTTCATCATTAATATAAAGGAAATGGCAGCAAATTATTATTTAATTCATTTTATTTTTGCCTGTGTTTGCTGCTGCTTATCTCCTTTCTAAATTTCTGAGTCTGGCCTTAACCGAATAGATTTTTTTTAACACCAATAGAGTGTAAAAATATTTGGACATTTTCCAGTTGTTGGTCGAAACCCGGCATGAATCGCCCTGCGTGTCAGAAATGAAAATATGAATCATAATCAGAAGAGCGGCCTTGTCAAACGAGCAGCTCGGTGCTTTTCTTCATGTGCAGCTGCAGGTCTGAAAACGAGGTCCAAGCGCGTGGTAAATGAGTCGTGACCCGCAGGCTGCTTGCAGAAGGATGCAGGAGTGAACAAACAGGAACAAAACATAAAAACAAACGCCTAGTGAAAGCATGAGCCTCCCTGCTCATCATCAACATCATAGCCCTATTCTTCCTCTCTCAATTGCAACTGAATCGCCTCGGTCTCATTACAGATTACAGCCTGAGCGGAGTGACTCTCCCCTTTCTCTCGCCTTTCTCCACACAGCCCCTCTCTTGATTAACATTTTCTGCTAGGCTTCACACCAAAGGCCCAACCTGTGTCCTTTAAAGGCAGGGTGAAAAAAAAGCCATCAAGCGCTGGAGTGGAATCAGATAAGGCTATCAGGCGGGAGGCTTTGCTGCCTCGGCTTTGTCCTGCTCCTCCACCCGCCCTCGCTTCCTCCACCAGTCTCTCACTCCACTGCGTCTTTTGTTCGGCTGATTCCCTGACGGAGCGCTGCGCTCGGCCTGGACCACCTCCAGCAACCAGCGTTGGCGTTCAGGGTCTCACACAGCTGCACACATCGTTATTTAATAAAATTGAGCAAAAAGTCGCTAAAAAACTGAGCAATCAGCAGAAATTGCCCCTGCAATAACACATCAAATACAATTGTTGTCTTCATTGTTCGTCCTAATGAAGGATCATGGTCAACTCGAGGCGTTTGGAGTTATTTAGATTCTGAAAGTATGGATTTTAAGCTTTCCAATGAAGTCAAACAAATGGAAATCAAAAATGAAGTTGTTCTTTAATAACATTTATAGCTATTTGTAATTTAGAAGCACAATAAAAGAAAAATAGACTGCAGTTGCTTCAACAGAAACAAAAATCCTCTTCTGCGCCAGTAAGTATGACACTTATCCACCAATTTCTATCAATTGAATTTATCTGTTGTATTTAATTAGCTTAATTTAATCATTTTAATTAAATAAAATCACATTGGTTGTTGACGTGCGAACACAGTTTTTTAAGCAAGTAAAGTCGTAATAAACAAAGAACAGTTCTCACCAACTGAGATTCGTTTAAAGCTTAGTGTCGTTCAAAGAATCATATTGCTAGTGAACAACATCAATACTCTCACTTTGAGCTAACGCTACGGCAAATGAACAGGTGTTTACATGCAGTTCCTTGCGGACCCCTAGGGGCCACCAGCGGAAAGACTGTCCTGGCATCCGGTAGTCCGGTAGACTCATTTCGAATGAAAACCAAAATTGCAACATTTGTTACATTTTCAGCTGCTGTGGTTCTTATTCAAACTGCACTGTGTCAAACGAGCCAAACTTTTGAAAACCTTGTTCCCCTCCTCACCTCCGGGGGCACTGCACTAATGACCACTGAGGGAAATTACATGAAAACCACCGAAGAAGACATGAACGCAACTTCCTTCTTTGTGAATTGTAAACAAATTGGAGTAGTGTCAGATTTCTGCGGTCGTAGGACCACGAGTCCACACGTTTGTTTTGGTTGAATTTACCCAGAATGCCCTGCACTTCGCTTCACTTCCTGTTTTTGGAAGCTAGAGTTCACGTCAACCAAACAGAGGCCAAGGTTTTTAGGTGTAGTGAACATTTGCCATGTGTAAACATCAACATCTGACCCAATCACGCTTTTCGTAGCCTGGTTGATTTGCTCCAAACCAGTAGATGGAAAGATGTCTGATTCGCATTTTCTTTTTTTTTTCTTGAAATTGGATGAAAACACATCTATTGTTGTGTAAGCAATGGTCACCTACCAAATAAATGTACAACCAGCATCATTTAGAATTGAAATGGCCTCATGCATAGCAACCATGTACCTGTTTGTTACAGTCATTGTAATAAGCATCAGTTATGTAGACATCTGACCCAATCATGCTTTGCGTGGCCTGGTTGATTCACACTAAACCAGTAGACAGAAAGACCCCAAATTTGCTAAATTTTAAAAGTTTGCTCAATATTTGGATGACAGCTGGATGGAGAAGACCTGGTGGTAAATAAATTTTCTTTGAGTCACCTCAGAAGAAGAACGGATGGCGGCTAACACCCAGCAGTGAAACAATCCAAGGCAACTGAACTGCAGCTCTAAGTTATCTAAGAATCGGAGGATCCATTCTCTGATCCGGCCAACAGGGACGAGTCCGGACTTTAAATCCCTGCAGGTTCGCATGCAGGCTGCCTCACCCTGCCATCCTAGATATTTGCAAACAGATGCTGCGACGGCAGCCTGCAGGTTTTTTGATCAATCAAGCTTTAACAAGTCAAGTTGACTGGCTGCAAATGTAACATTTTGCATCTGAAAGGCGAGGCCTGGTTTTGATTAGGCCTAAGCTGATAAATGGCCGATTCAAACAGGCCCCCCTGCTACTGTGGAGAAACCCCAGAGGTCCAGAGGTTTAAGTCCAGACTGATATCAACTCTGTTGCTCCTCTTTCTTCAGGAAACCCATGAATAGATCCATTATCCAGGGATTCTTTCTCATCTCCTAAATTGAAGTGGCAGCAGCTTAAAAGCCTCTTTTTAAGGCAGCCATTTCTTTCCTCCCTCCCAAATTTGCCTAATGAAATATTCATGGTTTGTCTCAGTTTGCCCTCCTCTGATAATCTCTACTTTTATTTTTAGGATTATGAGACAAACATATTTTGCAGAGTTGCAGCTAAATCCAGAGATTTGACCATTTTTTGAGGTAGTAGTGCTGAGGTGGTTTCCACTGTGTGTATTAACCCTTTAAGTTTCAAATCTCTGCCTGGATATTTTTGCTTATTTTAATTGTACAAAGTTCTTTAAATGTTCTATTAGTAAATATATTTGCCCTGCCCATTTCACCATAACAACTGGAACTTTCAATATCTAGCAAGTTATTTTCACAATTTCCTGTCTTTTAAAAGAATGTCTCATCAGATTAATTTCACTTCCTGTTGCAGTGGGAGTGGAATTACCGTAATAACCCAACATTAGCTGGAAAGTGCAACGTCTCCCCTTTCAGAAACCGTTGGGATTTACCAGATAGCGCAAAGTGTGGCGGAGTTACGGTGCTGCAAACCTGGCTGAATTGTCAGCACTCTGTTCAGTCTGCGAGGGTTAAAACATTAAGTTTGATATCTTAAAAAAGGGCAATAATAAGTGTTTTTAGGGTCAGAAGTACTTGCGTATTTGTCTATTCAGGGAAGTTAGTTATCTGCAGCGAATACTTGGGATAGAAGGAAATTAAGACATAAATTGGCAAATAAACTTAAAAAGATAAAGTACTAATTAGTTCAAGCTATACTTTTAAAACCAGAAATGTAGTGCAGAAAATATCCAGGATACTTTGGTACAAACTGAAGTCATGACCACGATGGAGTCGACTTGTCAGAAACTAGCAGTGAGTCTTTACTTTTATTTTATTAATTAAAACTCCAAAGGAAACAAATTAGAGTTGAAATGTAATTCAGTGTTAGTGGTGCTAAATCTGAACAAATTTATGAGACAAACAAAAGTAAAAAACACAATAAGTTCAAGGTTTTTATTAAATCAATACATCCTGAAAAAAAGAAAAGTTGAAATGCTTTTTGACTGATGTTAGATGATTTAACTGGTAGCTTACATTTGATTTAAATACGTTACGCAGCTGCAAACCTAAATGGGTAAAACAAAATATCCCTTTTAATGAAATTTGGTTCCTTTTTAAAAAAAGAAAAATTAAATGTTTCAATAGCAAAGTGCAGTCACACAGCTTAAATGAGATATTTAAAGCGAATATCTCATTTAAAATTCAACAAAACAAAATTATCCATGGACATTTAAAAATGCTTCCTCACACTTTAACTCCTGTTGTTTTCTTCTTTTGTCTTTCTCAGTCGACTTTCTGGCAAAGTATTGCATTTTCAGTCAGGAGAAGCTGGTGGAGTACAAAAGGGCTTTTGAAGCAGTAAGTGAAGGGCGATTTAAACCCTTTTTGTTCTTTCTCTTTCAGCAGCAGATTCTGTTTCACTCACTGGTTTGTGTTGCTCTCAGTCGGAGGGAAGGTGTGGAGTCTGCAGGCTCAAAATATCCACATAACGTGAACTTTTTCACTTTTTAAAAACACAAATCAGTGGGATGTGTTGGCATTAAATTTAAAGGAAAAATTATGCTTATAATTCACTAAAATAGAAGTTTCAATTTAGTATTTCATCATCTGAGAATGGAAAGAGTTTTAGAGTTGTTGGATGAGAAGGTCTAGTCAAAGTAAAAGTCTAAATCTGTTTGACAGGATTAAAAGGTGATGGAAAATATTCACAAACACTATTTACCCAATCTAACTGAGACTGGAGTATTTAGTAGGAGAATAAGAAATAGTTTTAATAAATATGTAAAGTTACATAATGGAGTAATTTTTATAGCAGAAATTGTCACGAGGAAGTGATCAACATTCAGGTTTTCTTCTCTATTTTGTTACAAATTTAAATATTTCCATTGAAGCTTCTTCAAATGAACCAACAGATTATTTTTTGTGTGCAGGAGGACAGCGACTCTGACGGCTACATCTCCTGCCTGCAGGTTCTGCTCGCTCTCAAAACCATCATCCCTACTGAGCTGCTGTCTGAAAAAGAAGAGATCTACGTCTACAGGGTAGATCAGTGACGAACCGCAGCGCAGCAGCGCTCACTTCCTGCCGTAACGCCAACGTCCCGTTTCAGATCCTGGAGATGGTGGACTTCAGGGTGACAGATGGGCTGGTGGACCTGAGGCTGTTCGCCGTGATTGCGAGCCTGGCGCAGAAAATAGCCTCCATGGAGTAAGTGAAAAGGCAGACGCACTCCTCCATAGAGCCGCAGGCTGGAGGAGGAGTCACTGACCCGCCATAAATAAGGATGAGAGTTTGCACCCTAGTTTGTTCCACTGATCTTGGCGTTGTGTGTGGGTCTCTTTGAACCGCGTTGAGTTGTCTTGTATCTGCTACACTTAAGTTTCTGGGCCATATCCGCACTCTCTGAAGAATTATTTCATGATTTATGAAAGCTAACGGGCGTTTATTTTTATTGGAAAAAAACAAAAATTTTATATCATCCTGAATTTTAATGTGAACTGGTGTGAATTTGGCTGGTTGATACTTGAGAAATAAGACTCCTCATTACGTTTAAAGGGAATCTATTATCAAAAATTCACATTTTACAAATTTTTCTACTTCCTTTTGAGTTTCTACTCCTTCTAAAAACAGCTCAAGCACTTTAAAAAAACACCCAACTAATGTCTTTTGGTATCTGGAAAATGGAACTGTTTCAGAATCACAACTTAGCAATCACTGCCCGTTACCTAGCAACCCCAGCAGAGTTCCGCTCATCACCTAGCAACCCCAGCAGAGTTCTGCTCGTTACCTAGCAACCCCAGTTGAGCTTCAGCACATTTGGTCAGTATGCGCTGTACAGTGGCTGCTGGAAAAGAGTTTTATTGTTGACTCAACATCCAGTTAACACTTGCTGGATTTTGTTGGTTGTGCAGGAGGCTCTACTTCTGCTTTTCAAATGTGTACAGTGGGAAAATTGTGCGTTTGTTTGGAGCTATTTTCACATGCGTGTGTAAAGGTCGAGTTTACACTCACAGTTTGTTGCCGTATACCAAGGGTTTTGTAACAATATTTTGGACTTTCTAAGAATATAGTATTTGAAAATTATGAAGTTAAGTTTTTTTTTTTATTCTTTTGCTACATCTGTAAAAAAAAGTGTAAAAAAAAAAAAAAAGGGAAAGTTTTTTTTTTTTCCGAGGGCTAATTTAAACACAAGACTATTAAAACTACAGTATGAAGCTTTTATTAATTTTTTTTCATATTTGTTAAAATTGTAACCATGTTGTTATAAATTGTTATGAGACAGATAATCTGTGAAAAGATTAATCTCCTCCACCTCATCCCTGAGCTGATGAGGAAAGAAGAAGAAATGCATCGCTCCAGGTCAAAAACAACCAATCAGAGCCAGGGGGAGAGTCTTAACGTGGTCTATCATCCTCTTGTACTCACTGCTAAATGGGCTAATGATGGAGAAACTACTTACTGTTACAGGAAAACCGTTTATCCACTGCTAACTAGCTTTAGCATTCACAACAGACTCTGCATAGCACACACCAAGAGGACAATATACTTTTATATATAAAAATATTTTATATAAAAATAATATTTTTAAAATATATAAAAAATAAGTATATTTCATATTTATATAAAACATATTTTAATATGAATATACACTTATATTTATATAAAAAAATATAGGTAGTTTAATAAAAATATAAAAGTTTTTTATATTTATGTTCATAAAAAACTTTATACAAATATTTTTTATTTTTACAAAAAGATAAACTTTTTACACATTTATAAATATGAAAATATAAAAAACTTTAGTATTTTTTTTTATAAAAGTTACATCCTGCAGCTTTAATAAAGACCATTTTACGAGATCACATCAAAGACTGGTTTCTTTGAAGCTTATTGATTGTTCCATCTTTGATCATTTTATTCAGATTGCATCAGTTTTTATATTGATCAGACATATGTGAGAACATGTCACTGGATCCAGTGAATCAGCTGTGAACAGGCTGAACTTTGCTGGGCCAAACTTTGGCCTCAGCGTCCCCGTGTCCCAACGTTATGCTCCATATGCCGCAGATTCCCACACACAGCGTTTTGTTTTTCCTCGGCCTTGCCCCCGGGGTCTAAGGCTTCCTGCAGACAGCAGCGAGTGGAGCCAAGCTCGCTCCGGAGGTCCCCCGGGGGTCAAGGCCTGCACCCGGAGCCTTCACCCCGCTCTGAGAGTGCCCTCTCAGCGGGGCCGGGGTCACGGGTCCCCTGATTTACGGCCGACTCTTTGTGGGCTGGAGGCGGCCTGTTGCCTGACTGCTGCGCTGGCACAAAAACACCAGGGTGTCTGCTCTGTGTGGAGGCAATTATCGTAATGATAATGAATGTCCGTATTAAACCTCTTTACACAAAACTCCTCTTTGCAATTTCAATAATAAGCAGGGAGGCGATGAGCGTTCATAATGCCGCCTCCCAAACAAGGAGAAAACAAAAGCATCTCATCCGTACTGAACTGGACTGATCCTCTTACCTGTTTCACTTAATCCTGTTGTCTCTAATCCCGCTTTGGAAATGAGCCGCTACAGTAGTTACACAATCAGCCTTTCTGACCATGTTGAGATCTGAGGAGGTGTGTTTCTTGGCCTCCTCCCCCCCTCTGTCTCCTCCTTTCTTCCCAGATTTACCTGTCGCATGTCTTTCATCTCTTGTTGCCTCCTTTTCACTCTGCTGTTTTACCCATCTGTCCCCGCGCTGCATTGTGCGCCACATTCCCTCAGGACGCATCACGTGGTTTGGCAGGAAAGCACAAATAGCATCAGTGGAGCCACGGCGGTCGTCGTCGTGCGTCTTCCTGTCGCTGGACTGAACGAGGGAGCGACTGCTGAAGTGGAATCAACAAAATCCCTGTAGATAAATAGTGTAGAGTTTAGTTTTTAACAATTTTTAGTGATGAAAATTAATGATCAGATCTTGTTTGGGCTTCAGGAACTAAAAAAAACAATGGCAGGATAAAAATTTTATCTGTATTCACACAAGTCTTGTTTAGTCCAGTTTAATCAAACTCTGGTTCGTTTGAACGTGAAAATCAAACTGATGTGGACCAAAAATCAAACTCTGGTCCACCTAAATAATTAGTTCTCAGTTCGGTGGAAGTGAACTCTGGTACGGTTTGAATGCGTATGTGAACGCCAAGCGGACAGGAGACCGCTTCCAAAAGCAGGAAGCGGGCTACATGCAGGGAATTCTGGGTAAAAAGAACCAAAACGGATGCGCTAGTTTTGTTCTAGCAGGAAAAATGCATCATGGTCTTTACCAACAGAGAGATCCTACAACTGCTAAAAATCTGACGCTTCTCCATTTTTGTTTACATTTTGATAAGAAGGAAGCTGAGCTCATGTTTCCTGTGGTTCTTGGTGCAGCGCCCCCACAGGCGAGGAGGGGAACAGGCGTTTCAATCAATTTGGCTTGTTTGACAGTGTGAAAGCGAGTTGCAGCTGATAAAAATGCAACAAATGTTGCAATTTTGGTCCCCAATTGAAAGGAGTCTATCAGGTGTGAAAACACTTTTAGTTTTAGTGGGCAGTCTGCTTTTGAACGTAAAGCTTCTTCACTTTTAAGAGTTGAGGAATGTTTCTTTTACACCAATTAAAGAGCATAAACTACAATACTTGACCAAACAAATGCCAGAAAATAAAAGTCACACACTAATATTCTGTTGGACAGACATTCGCTTTGTTTACAGATGTCATACAAACAGGAGAAAAGGACTCAAATGCAAAACTAAACACAGTGACATAAAGTCAAGGATACCTTAATCTAGTTTGTGGTCCGTTTACAAAGTTTCAACACTGCAAAAACAAAAAATCCAAAGGATTTTTGGTCTAGTTTCAAGTGCAAATATCTTAGTGCACTTGAAATAAGACAATTAACTCACAAGTATCTTCTAAAATATTTTCACCAAACCCTGAACAGAAATAGTTGGTAACATTTTGTTTGGGGATATTTTAAGCAGGATGGTCAAACAACTCTGAGCTTTGTCGGATCAAACTGGGTCAGAATCTGTTTGCATCGCCGTCTGCAGGCTCTGCAGCGACGAGGCCGCCAAAATGTTGGGCTCTGCGTAAGTGAGAAGTCTTCTATGATGGTCACCGCGGGGGGTCGACAAAAGTAAAATGGGTTAGGCTGTTATTATCCTCGCTGCAGTCCGTCACCGGCGCCTCCCCCACGCCCTGGCTGCTTGTCCTCGCCATTATCTCGCCGGTGTGCTTGTGCGCCGCAAACGAAGTGCAATTAATGATCATTAGCTGCCCTGTCCTGCCTCGTCCTCATCAAAGCCCGGACCCGATGGCCATTCTTTGCCCTAACAGGCCATTGAGCGCTCGGCGAGGAGGGGCTCGTTAACACCAGGCGCTCGTTAGAGACGGGATGACCGTCGCTGTGCCACACGCTGGACTGGAGAGGTCCGTCCCAACACAGTCGCTCCACTCTGCCTCTAATTATCCTCGTGGACCAGATTTTATCACATTGCACCAAAGTGTGCTTCGACCACTCATTCCCCTCCACGCCAACCCCAAGCAGCCCCTCGTCCACGCCCACTGTCCCCCAAATCAGTTTTATCCGTTAATGTGGCGGGATGTCTCCGTGTGCCGACGCATTGTTTGTCTGCGAGGCGGCTGTGAGCAACCACAATGGACTCAAAACACTTTAGCATCACTGGCTGGAAAACTCGGGGTCGCCTGGGACAAACCCGCCAAAAACATCCCGCCCTGGCGTGACTCATATTTACAAACACTCGCCCTAACGCAGCCGAGTCCAAACTTGAAAGCACTCAGGGGCCACAATTTAAATAATACTGAATTATTTTATTCTGAATTATCTTATTTTACATAATAAGTGTATTTTTACTTAAAAAGTCCAAATAAAGGATCTCAAAGTTGTACAGTTTCCTAATTTCTTGGTCAAAATATCAATTTTAGTTTATTTCCAACAATAAAATGACGACCATTTTAGTTACTGGGTGTGATTAAGTCTGACTTTGAGTACATAGACCTTAAAATGAACCCTGCGCCCCTCTTTGGTCAGCCCTGTTTTAAAAGACTTAATTTTATCCCTTTTATGTTTTAATTTTACACAAAATTAACCAAAAATCTAGAGAGATATTCCACAAACACATTTCAGCAACAATTTTATTATGTATTTAATTTAATTTTTCATGCTACCTAGACTTAAACGAAGTTAAAATATTCTGTGATGCATAAATTTCTGGTTTAATTATTTGTTTAATTTAACACCCAGTAATACAATACCTTCACAATAAGTTCCTCAAGTTCATCCATCTTTGTTTCATCAGAAACCTCCCAAACAGCGACAGTGTGGATAGATAATGCATCCTTAAAAGGTCTTAAATTAATTGATCTAAAAATATTTTTAAAAGCCTTAAAATGTCTTGAATTCATAAAAATATGACCACAGGTTTTACATTTAATTTAGACGACCATATGATGTGTAGTTAGTTTTTTTCTCTCTGGACTTCTTTTGTCAGGCAAACAAACGTTTGAGTCACGTAAAACATTTTCATCCTTGTGTGTTTTTTGCTGCCGTCTTGACCAGGTCACTCCTGGAAAAGAGGTTTTTAATCTCAGTGAGTTATTTTTCCTGGTTTAATAAAAGGTATATAAATACAAAGATTATGCTCTATAACTTGAGGCAGTGCTGCTACAGCTAACTAACTGCTAATATACCCATGCTAGCAAGTTAGTTAGCTTTATTGGGTCTGTCATAGGTAAGTGTACATTTTCACACTAAAATAATTACAAAAACACTTTTAATGCCTAAATATTAATAAAAATGTATTAGTTCCTCGTTTATTTACTGGCAGATTATTTCACTTAAAACAGTGTAATTAGCATGTTTTCTTCAATATTCATGAATTATTTACTTAAAACAAGCTCCTGTATCTTGCTGAAAGTTTTAAGTTAGCTTTGTCTTATTTCAAGTGATATTTGCAGTAAAATCTAGGTCAAAGTACTTGGTAAGGTTTTGTGTTTTTGCAGTGTCGGATACAGAGTGAATGTATTATTCCTACTGCTAATAAACCCTTGCTAGCAAGTTAGCTAGCTTTTTGGGTTAATCGTGGGTAATTATACATTTTTACAGAAAAAAAATTACAAAAATTTCTAATTTCTAAATATTAATGAAAAAGTATTAGTTCTTCTGGCAGATTATTTCACTGAAAACAGTGTAACTTGCACTTTTTCATCAATATTTATGACTTAAAACCAGCTCCTATATCTTGCTGAAATGTTGTACTAACATATTTGCTCTAAAAACTGGACCAAAAATACTTGGTAAGGTTTCATGTTTTTGCAGTGTAGGTTGTGTAGTTTTCCATCCTTCCCATCCATTTTAAGCTGATTAATTTCTCTCCTTCCCAGTGAGTTCATGCGATCCCTCATCGACAGCATGGACCTGCGCTCCCTTGAAGTGCGTCTCTTTAAAGCGAAGGTAAATCCTGCCTCTCCACATGTTTGTTCTCTTGAATTTGTTTACACAAGACGCACTTAACGGCCTCGATGCAACATCAGATTAACTCTTACGGCAGAAACATCACCTCCGCAGTTCTGCAGGTATAATTGCAATGAAACAAACATCCCAACTCTTTGAAAAGTGATGCGAAAGCAATGTTTTTTATTTTATTCTGGAGAGCCACTCAGAACCTCATGCATAGAAATGAGGGAATCAAGCGGGAGAAAGGAAGAGGGGGCGCCTTTCCCTTTTCATAGATTAGCACGGCCTTAATCTCATTAAAGTGCCCAGCAGTGAACATGCCGTCCACTCCGCCCCGGCCTGTAATCAGCCCGAGACACACAGCTCATCTCGGGTGGACTGGGCCGAGCCTATACCAGCTGGCAGCGAGGGCGAGGAAGTAGCGGCCAGCAGGACATGAAAGCCTGTGGGTGTGGAAAACGGAGCCAGGTAAGGAGGCTTTGTAATTACAGAGCTGTTAGGGATAGGGTTGTTAACTGGAGAGGCTGCTGGGGGGGGCGGAGGGCTAATTGCCAGAAGGGCTGATCTCCGGTCCCCTCCCTCTGCTCTGCAATTATTACCTCGACTGCATTAACCGTGCAAACAGGTGCGTCCAAATAGGACCGTGGTAATCTGAGGCTGCGCCACACAAAATCACAAACACATATTCCCACATAAACAAAACAGGTTCCTGAAAGTTGCCCTGCTATGCAAATTTCATGTTTTTGTACTTTTAGTTAAGTTTCTACTGCTGCTAAAAACAGCCCAAACAATTAAAAACAAACACCCAACTGTTTTTTTTTTGGTGTCTGGAAAATCAGCCAATACAAAAACCTTCGGAATGTAAAGGCACTTCCCATCACCTAGCAACCACAGAGAAGGCCAGCCTGTTACCTAGCAACCCAAACAGAACTCCAGCATGTTTGGTCAACTTCAGAAACACTTTATTGCTCCCAGAGGGAAATTAAATGTTGTTGTAACTCATTAATTCATATTCTTCAAAAAGTTATTGAAGATGGTGATGGCTGTACTGTCTGTACTGCACCAAACCTGAAGAAGCCTCTGACTGAAGATGCTCTGCCTTCTCAAGACAGTCTCATGAAGAGGGCGGTCAGGTTGCCCATTATTTTCCTGATAGTCTCCAGAGGTTCCACAATCAACACCAGAACAGAACCTGCCGTCTTTATCATGGTTGAGCTGGTTTTACTGCTGCATAATGGCTGCTGGAAAAGACAAGTGTTTTGTTGTTAAGTTGTTGGAGTATTTTTAGCTAAATGATTCTATATCTGGCTGAAAAATTACTTTGAAAGTTTGTTTTGTCTTATTTCAAATGTACTAAGATATTTGCTCTACAAAAAAAATTAAAACAAGACTTGGTAAGAGTTTGTGTTTTTGCAGTGTAATGCCCATAGACTTGACCTGGTAAAGGAAGTATAATGGCTGCAGGATGTTTCTGGTTCCTTCTGAATCTGTTACCCTGGCCTCTGCAGCAGCTCTTCCTGTTCCTCCTGGAGGATCAGCGCGACGCCTCCGGAGCTCAGCGGGGCTTCATCAGCGGCGAGCAGCTGCTTCTGGAGCTGAAGGCCGGCGGCATCCACCTGGAGCAGGAGGCGGCCGTCAGGCTGGAGCTGGAGCGCGTTCCTCCGCTGGACCTGCTGGACTTCCTGGCCTACCTGCCCCTCTTCATGCTCATCCACCAATCAGTGATCGCCAACCCGCTCGACGACTCCGGCCACTGCTGAGCTCTGCAGTGGCATGTTGGGCCTCAGGGCTCAGAAGATCGGTAGAATAACATATTAAAGGGAATAAATTACCATACTATTAATATTACTGCTCTGTAATGATAAACTTTTACAGTAGTAAAGTAAACCTTTGTAGCGTCCCGGTCGAAAAGATGTTCTCTTTAACTGATGGTTCACTTCTCTTTATTTAACAGCCTTTATGTGTGAACACACCGTAAGAGCTACAAATGCACAAACGAAACACTATTAGCAGCTCTTAGAGGTTCTAACCTTTTCTTTTAACTCAAAAAAAACCTACTTTATGCAACAACATTACATCTACATCACGTGTATTTAATTAACCTACATTTCTATACTACAAATTAACCAAAATGTATTTCAACTGCTTTAACAGTTTGACAGTTAATCAAACATTAACATCGTTTTATATCAAAATACAAAATGTATGTTCAATAAATACAATATTCTCGATAAAACACCCACCTTGTTCCCTCATCAACCGAGTGCTATTTAACTAATTGCTTGGACCTTAGTTGAACCACCCTTTAGTTGTCTTCACTGAACTGCGACTTGTATGTTTGCTCATTCTCTGTACTATATCTTAAACAGACAACAGTCAGATACTGTCAGATGTTTGTACAAATTGCTTAGCAACTCTGACTTCCAAAAAAGAACAAAAAAAAACAAACTCTTTTCAAATCAAAACGTCAGTTAAAAAACAACAAACAACTCCCAGCTAAATGAGAAAACACCAAAAGAATATAACAAAACAAATAAAAAATTCAATTACATATATATGAATCAACAAAAGCTTTACACCTTTATTGGAAAAGGTCTGCATAAGACTGACATGACAGTCATGAACACGAAGGAGTTTTCATGAATGTTTTACTCCTGTCACTCAGTAAATAACGACATTTTTAAAACAAAGTTTCATTAAAACTTGTGTTTAAGTTTCATTAAAAGTGTTTACTTTGTATTATTTGTAAAATAATGACATTTTTAAAGCCAAATTTTATCAAAACATGCATTTAAAGTGCATTAAAAGTGCATTAAAAATGTCAACTTTGCAATATTTGGTAAAAAATTACACTTTTAAAAGCAAAATTATATTCAAACTTTTGTTTAAAGTCCATTAAAGTTGACAATTTTACATCATTCTTTAAGTAATTACACTTTTAAAACAAAGTTGCATTAAAACTTACATTAAAAAATTGTGTTTTAAAACAAAGTTGCATTAAAACCTTGCATAAGTGACTTAAAAGTAAAATCTCAGATTTGTTTTTATGTTGAACGCCATGTCTATACATCTTAAGTTTTTCTTTTTACTTTAAGACCTAAACTTTGACTCTATCGATGATTATAAAAAGTTAAAATAACTCCTTCATCCTAGAGTTTTTCCACATTTTATTATCAGTCATGTAGTAACAGACCACCAACTGTGATCTCTGGTCGAGAACTGAATTTATAAACACTGTCAGACTTTTTAATGTGTAAATCCAACCATCCAGTCTCAATCTTGACATAAACTTTTCCTGGAACGGTAAGTTGTTTCTTGACCATTTTCTCATTCAGCAGTACTTTAGTTTGATTGACAGCAGTAAGACCCGCCTCCTGGATCTGATTGGTTGTTTTCTCTGATCGGTACATTCCAGCCTAATGAAAAACTGTCAGGACATAATGGCAGTTTTAGCAAATATGGAAAAAAATTATACCATCACCGTGTAACTTCTGAAAGCAATTTGTTGCATGCCACACTTTTCAGTGTTTAATTTGTAAAAATGTTTTGCATCATGTTTAACTTTCTTTCTGCTTTAGAATTGTAAACCACTTTGTGTTGGTTTTCACATAAAAAGTCCAATTAAATTAATGTTTGTTGTTGTAATGTGACAAAATACGAAAAAAATGGTTTTTCAATACATTGATTCGAAATTATAATTTGTACTTTTTTCATCAATATTAAGAAATGATTGACTTAAAACAAGCTCCTATTTCTGGATGGAAAGTTGTAGTTTTGTCTTATTTCAAATGTACCAAGATGTTTGCTCTACAACCACAAAAACACTTGTGTATTTTGTAAATCAGTTCGTCCTTCACAGAAACCTTTTCCTCTCCTTGCAGGTGGCGGCTGCCTGTGTGTTCAGCGGCATGCTGCTGCTGTCAGGAGGCACACGCCGTCAGTCAGTTCAGCTCCGTGTCTCCACTCGATCACCACCCGGAGCCCATTCACTCATTACAGCGGACACGCGTCCCGGCGCAGCCTCCGCCCTACCTGTCAAACTCAGTTGTCCCGAAACGCGCAGACCACCTTACAACCCGCTGCGCGCCCCGCTTACACCACCTCCGGCTGCGGATTTAAGGCGACATTCTTCCCTTCTTTTCGCGTCTGATGTCGGAGTTTAGCTGGAATTGTCCGGTTGTTGCGTAATTGGGTGATTTAAGTTGCGTAAAAGTTCTATTGACATGCTGCATTATCCGGATTTTTCTTTCTTTTATCTAAAAAAATTGGACTTTTTATGTGAAAACCAACACAGATTCAGATGCGGTGCGTAAAAACAAAAGATAAAGATGGACATTAAGAGTCGTTCAGGAAAGAACTGAAAATAATAATAATTAAAAAAAATGTGCGTAATCCCACCAACGCAGTAAATACTTTATTTTGCTTTACTCTTCGCAAAAACTTTACGCCGCTAAAAAACCTTACAACCTGTGCGTAAATTGTCCTTTATTTCCTAAGAAGATGTCTAATTCCTCTATTTGAACAATTTCTCCTTAGTTTTCTTGAAGTTACTCACTAATTGATCCATAATTGCTGTAATTTTGACTATTTCTTCCCATAACGCACAAAGGATTGTGCGTAAATACTTTGCGTAAAAGTTTGTCTTGTTTCTTTTGTTTTCACTACTTTTACTCACTTAATGTTGGCCTCCATTGTTAAAACTTGAACTATTTATAGCCAAAGAAAAAGCAATCATGTTTAAAAGGTGCGTAAAGTTAACAGTAGAGTAACTGTTGATCCCTTAAGAGCTAAAAATAGAATTTCTATTATTTTCCTTCTTTGCTTTTATATAATTTCCACTCCGCTCTACAAAGCAAACATCAAAAAAAGAAAAGACATTGAAAGAAATTCAGTAAATCTCTTTATTTTTGGACTAAATTGTAGAAAATATGGTTAGAAGAATTATTCAACATCTGCTTGTGAATAGAAGATAAAGAGCTGGCAGTATAAAGACACAATGCATGGCTATTGCACTCTTTTTTGGACAATAGCTGCATAAGTTTGATCATCGTGACATGATATAATGCAATAACTTGGTTCTGCTATTAAATAAGACACATCGGTGCTATATAATAAAAACATCGGAGTGTCAAACTCCTGCTGGAAACCTCGTGAACACAAGAGCCAGAGAATAATAGACTACCCGTCTACGTTGGCAGGAGGTATTAGAAATAACTTCGCAATATATAGACAAAATATATACAAAAAGGATGTGTACAAAACATGTATAAATCTCTTACATACAAAAATATCTTAATATATTCCCAAAAAAAGCGTCTGATATAGAATTTAATAGAATAAATCCGCAACCTGGAAGCATTTGAACTGAATTCAGCTTCGGAGAGGTTTACCAAAACGGGTCGGTGTGATTGGTTTAGCATAGATGAGGAGCGGCGTTTTAAATAATGTTTTGTTTTCTGGACAGCATGAATTCACGTTAGGGTCTTTTTTGTTTTATTTTGGGGTTTTCCCACTTTGTCTCCTTTTAATCCTGAGTCTTTAATCAGTCTTTAGGATTAAAACAGCGCGCCTTGTTCTCCGGGACCATCCCAAGCGCCGGACAACAAAACTGAGACGAGTTGATCCAGAATTCTGTGAAAAACAAAACAAAACAATTAGATCAAAATTCAACAAAAGTTTTTAAAAGTTGTAGAAAATAACTGCGTCGTCTTACCTTGGAGATGCTCAGAACCAGTTGGTGAAGTCCAGCAGCTCCTGCTCCTCCGGACTCAGCGGGTCGTAGGAGCCTTCATCTGACGAGTAGGAGGACACGGGTGACCCAGCCATGGAGTTCATGTCCGCGGAGTAACCCTGCGACATGCCGGGCGACAGCACGCCGGCCTGGAAGGCGGCGCTCACCGCGTCATGCTCGTCCAGCAGCTGCTGCAGGGCGCGGATGTACTCCACCGCGGAGCGGAGCGTCTCCACTTTGCTCATCTTCTTGTTGGCGGCGCCGTTGGGGACGTGCTCACGCAGCGTGGCGAAGCCGTTGTTCACTAGCTTCACCCGATTGCGCTCGCGCTCGTTCCTGCGGGCCACCGCGTGCGGCTGCTGCTGCGGGAGCGTGTAGCCGAAGCCCGCGAAGTTCAGCCGCCGCTTGCAGCGCAGCAGCTCCGGCGAGGAGGAGCGCTGCCGCTTCGGCTGCTTGGACTTCCCGCTGCACTGACTGCTACTGCTGCAGCTGCTGCTGCTGGGGCTCAGCTGGATGCTCTGCGCCGAAAAGTAACAAGCGGCGGGAACCAGCTGCTGCTGGCTGACGTTAATTTCCATTTTGGCTGTAATGTCCATCTCCGGAAAGTAACTTTTAAGTCGCGAGGCGGTGCGTCCCGCTCGTGCCGTTCACGTGTTTCGACCGCACTTGTTCCGGTAGGGGCAGTCCGCCTCTCAGCGCTGAAATGTGTCCTGGAAGACAGACTCCACTGCTTTTCAATGCGCTTGGATGTGAGCTGGCCACGCCCACTGGTCGCGTGGATACACCTTGGGCTCCTGCGCCGGGTACCGGTGCTCGCGCGCGTCAGACGCGTGCCACTTGAAGCGCTAAACAAACAGAGCGGAGAGGAGGTAAGCGGAAGGAAACCTCTTTACAATAACAACAGTTTGTCCTGAATGTGAGACTTCTGTCGGTTTCTCAACAAGCTTGTAATGTTACAAACATTTGGAAGAAAGTAAAAAACTGAAATTAAGATATTTCCGTTAACTTAAATAAATTAAAACGGTAATTAGTTAGAACTATAGTGTGTTTATAAAACTGACTAAAACATGCTTAAATCAAAGGTTTAATGTCATTTGGTTTTGTGTTTATTATTGGCCTTTGAATGAATGTGAAATAGATTTTTTTTCTCTCTCTAACAAAGCAGTTTACGTCAGTTGTCAACAAATTACGGCACTCTTGGCGACACTTACGCTGGTCCGCAAAATGGCGACGGTAAAAGTTGGGATGAAACACCAGTGTGTTGGTTGTTTAACAATAATTGAATACAAGTTTTTTTTTAAAAAATATTATCTTTTGTTGAATGTATATCAATAGGAAGTTGTGTGAAAGACAAAAATCCACAAGCAAAACAGGATGACTGCAGCCTTTTAGAAGAAAAGGTCAGCAGAATGACTCACCAAGAACCGAGTGCAATTAAAAACTTTATAGGCCCGCATTTCTGTACCAAAAAGTTATTCTTTTATTGATCTTGCTTTCAAGTCTAGAACCTAAATTTTGGTGTAAATCATCAAAATTAACAGAAATAAATGCATCAGTTGGATCACTTCATGTGTAATAGATCTATAAAGGGTGTGGTTTTCAATTTTTCGATTGAATTAATTAAGATTTTCTAGTTTATTACGATGCATCTGTTTAGCTCCGAAAGCAGGATGTGATAAACATCATGTGATCAGCCAATTTACGTAATTATTTATTGGGTGAAGAACTTTGAAACTACCTGAAAAGAGTCATCATGGATGGTTTAAAGGTTCTGCTTACATGCAAATATGAAAAACTTACAGTTGATTCACTGGATTTTACATAGTACATAAAAATAACAATATTGGCATTATTAAAATACTTTAACACAACTATCAAACAATTAAGATCTTAAAGGAATCCCGTCAGATTTGATCTTGATAATAGCGAAACAAATTGTAAAACAGAGTGACGTGTTATAGGTCAGTGTTTTTCAAAGTGGGGCCGCCAGAGGGCGCTGTGGGGACCTCAGGAAGTTGATGAGAAAACAATTAAATCCCACATTTTTTAATCTTAAACTTTTTATCATATTTTTTGTTTTCTATTATTGAAATAATATATTTAAATGTTATTTCTGGTGCTCATTCTTTGATTGGCTGCCAGTAAAATGGCTGGACTTAATACTTTTTAAGTACTTATGTGTACTTTAAAATATTTACACTTTTAAATGAAAATTCTCTTTTAAATTTGCTATGAATAAAATATCCGAGTAGTAAATTCAACTCAAACTTGATTAAGTTTTCAGGTTGTTCTTGGAGGAACTTTTAACTTCTCTAGCGCCCCCTGCTGGTGGCCTTGAACAGCAACGTATTTCGCTTATACTTCGGGCTGGCTTGGAAGATGAGCAAGAGGATTTGTTTATCAAACATACCTCACCTATATGAGCTATAAGTTAACTATATTGCTAGCTATTTAGCATTTACGCTAGCATTAGCATTTGTAGCTCGTTTAACCTTTTTAATGTTTTTTTTTTATTGTACAAAATGGAGGACGTTGCTATAGATACTAGTTTATCTGAGAGCAGCTGCTTCAGCACATCTTTTTATTTTCCCCGACGCGGCTCATTTGAGGCTCTATTGTGCGTCGAAGGCCAAATTTTCCACTGTGATTGGAGCGCATCATGATCGGTTGCACAAGCGGAACGCCGAGGCGCAAATCTGCGGGGAGGCGCAGAGAATCCAGAGCTTTGTGGCTGATTGGACACACCCGATGCTGTTGCAGTGCAGGCTGATTATTGTGGCTCTGAGATGCGGAGAAACCGGATAAAAACGCAAATTCAGTTATATGCTACTACTTCTACTTCTTGTTGTAAAATTGCGTTCATTTTCTGTTGGCAGTGGCATTCAGGATCAATTGAGCGACCCCCACTCCTGTGCGCCCCACCTATATACTTTCTTTTCTTCCCTCCTCCTCTTCCTCCCCTTTTGGCGCAGCAAGAGAGTTTAGAAAAAGAGGCGTGGGTTCTATTCAGCGTTCCCTTCCCCATCTCCATGCTTTCTGAAACCTATCCATGCCCCCTTGTCTGCCTGCTTCCAGGGTCCAATTAGCGCTTTGTGCGGACTTTGCGGGTCTTCCAGAGGCTGGGAGGGCGCGCTTCACTTGGAGGGGCTTTCCAGTCAAAGCTGAGTGTAATAATTATTATGACATCTGGGCGCCCGGGTTCCCATTTCACCACTTTCCGTGATTTTACGCTTTTGTGTGAGGCGTTCACTGTCCGGGAGGATAATAAAAACAAAACAGAAAAATAATATAAGCACCAAAACTAATGTGTGAGGGATGAAGGGATTACCCTCCCATTTGTTTCTCATCAAAAACATTTTTTTAACCCTTAAGGAAACCTGACGAGCCAGTATATATTATATTTTACAATATTTTTAATGACCTAATTATGAGCTCGACTCATTTTCACTGATTTATTCTTGCTTTTGTATATATAAAATGAAAATACAAATACAAGTTGACCGTTTAGACAACAATTTCTGCTCGAAAACTTGTTTTCTCCTGTCCAGGTTAAGTTGTAATGAAACATCGCCCTCTAGCGGACATCGGTATATGCACTCCGGTCAGGAATTTACATACACGAGTCATTATGGATTTTTAAAGATGCCAATGAACATTTTATTCTCTTCGATAGGGTTTGGGTTGCCATGCAGAACCTAAATATGACGTAGGGACTAGATAGACAGATGGATGGATAGATAGAGTAAAAATAAAAAAGACCAAAATAAAATAGTAAAGTGTATTGCGTTTCAGTGCGTTTGCATCTTGTGACCACTAGATGTCATCATTTCAACTTAATAAATATTTAGATGTTGATTTATCTGTTTGGACGGTGTACCGTAAAGCGTATTAAATTATGTTTTTAAAATAAAACGCTCTGATATTTTTCTAATTAATTTTATCCCCAGTTATGTAAAAAAGTATATAAATAAATAAGGGAAAATGTTTTGTTTTTCTGAGAACATTTTTCATTTTTGAATAGTTTCTGAGCACCAGTCTGTCCTCGAATATGATTTTGTCTTTTTCGAGCTTCCGTTGGTTGTAGGTCACGTGGTTTTGTTTACCAGGAAGCAGAGCGACCATTAGACTAGTTAGCTCCCGATTTAGCCCAAGAATAAGTTACGTTTTCCACATGTTAGCTTAGCGGATTTTAATCCAGTAGCGATGCGGTCGTTAAACTTTGTGCACCGGGTCAGTTTGGACTTCACAGGAACCATGTTTCCTCACGCCATCTGTTTGGGAGACGCAGACAACGACTCGGTAACAAACCTCTCTGTATTTCACCCGTGTAATGGTTGACCCAGTATTCCTAATATTAGTATTCAAACGGAAGATAATTTATTTTTCTACTACTATTATTATTATTATTATTATTATTATTATTATTATTATTATTATTATCGTTCTATGTATGTTTTACAGCTTATAAATAAACACCGATAAATAAAGTTCACCTTAGTGCAGTATGTGGGCTGGACGATTCATTAGTTTAAAAATAATTCAAATATTTTAGTGTATCATATTTTAATTTGAATCTTTCTTGTGAATTTTATATTAGATTTACATCTGAAATCAAATATATGATTTTTAGACGACTGTATTTGGACGTAAACAATGGTAAATGAGCTATTTTGTTAATTAAAAATTGTGAAACATTCTTATTTTAATTTATTTTGAGGTATTGGAATGACGGCGTATTATGGCAATTGTAGCTAGACACAAAAAGAGGAATACATTTACATAAAAAAATCAGAAATTTTCTAGATAAAAAACGCATTAAAATTTCAGAGTTTGAAAAAGTCCATGTTTGCTAGAAAAAAATCTGAAATTTTGAGATTAACCTCAGCATTTTTTCTAGAAAAAAACAGAAATTTATGAGTGTCAAACATCAAAAAGTTTTGACTTGCTCTCAGAAATGTATGAGTTTTTTTTTGTCACAAATCTACTCTTCTTTTTTTCTTAATCTACAATGGCCTTAATATGTCATCATATATTTGTTTAATATTGAATATATTTAGTACCAGGCATATTTATTAGCCTACATGCACAAAATCAGATAATTAAATGTAACTTATTTACATTTCTATCAAGATTTCTCAACTGAAGTAAATATTACAGCCTAAGTTATAAATAAATAAATTAAAGCTTTGTGTTTGTGACTCTGCAGCTGAATGAACTAATTGTTGGAGACACAAGTGGAAAGCTGCTCGTTTACAAGAATGACGAATCCAAGCCCTGGGTCACAAGAACCTGTGTGGGAATGGTTGGTATGGAACAAGAAAACCACAAAACAAAATGTGACTTCTGGCCCGTTTTCACGCGTTTTCTTTTCCAGCTGACCTGCGTCGCAGTCGGAGACGTCCGCAACAAGGGAAAGGTGAGCAGATTGAAATCAGAAGCAGCTGGATCCGGAACGATCCACTCAGCTTCCTGGATGTTTTCCAGAATCTCGTCGTCGCTGTGGGAGCAGAAGGATGGTTCCACCTCTTCGACCTGACGGCAGCCAGCGCCAGCAAATCCGACTCCTCCAGCCAGCATGAGTTTGTTTGTTCAGACGACCAGAGACCCTTCTTCACCCAACACATCCCAGCCAACACCAAAGTCATCCTCATCAGTGATATCGGTACGACCTTTGCTTCCATTTACCTGCTCAGCACAAAGCGTATTCTCTGCAAACTGCAGTGATCTCCATGTGTGCAGACGGAGATGGGCGCTGTGAGCTGGTGGTGGGATACACAGATCGGGTGGTTCGAGCTTTCCGCTGGGAGGAACAGTCCGACAGTTCGGACGGGGGATCCGGTCAGCTGGTTCTCCTGAAGAAGTGGCTACTGGAGGGACAGGTCTCAAGCTTTCAAATATTATTTATGGTGCAGAAGTATCCATAGTTACAAAATTTAGTCAGGCAGTTCTCGTCCATGAAGCTTGCAAACCTCAAATCAGGAAAAGTTAGCATTTAAATTCATGAAATATCAAATGCAGGTATACTCAATATGCTTTTCGAGTCCTCAGGTTTAAAGGTGCAGTATGAAACTTGGGTAAAAATATGTTTTTTGGCATATTTGTTGAAATTGCCAACGTGTTGTGATGGTATGCTATGAGACAGACAATCTGTGAAAAGGTAAAGAATGGAAGAAAATTTCAACAGCTAAAATTAAGTATTGTTTTGGTTTTTATTCATACTATTTGCTTTGAGTATCTTTGCTAATTTTATAATTGTATAATTATTTTTACTAAACTTAATTTTATTTTCTATTTTATCATTTATCTACCTGTGATGTTGTTGTGAGGCACTTTGGTCAGCTGAGGCTGTTGTAAATGTGCTATATCAATAAACTTTGATTTGTCTTGAAAAAATTAATCAGAGCCAGGAGGCGGGTTTTAGCGCTGACAATCACAATCTCATGTGGCGCCGCTCATCTGTCCCTCCCCTTCCACTTTCCTCTCATAGGAACCATTTTTTCTTTTTTTTTGCTTGTAAACTTTTCACCCAGCTGTGTGGTTTCTGTTGTTGAATAAGTTTTAACGTGTTCTGATGTTCGCTCTGCAGGTGGACAGCCTGTCTGTCAACCCGGGTCCCGAGGGTTTGCCGGAGCTCATGGTGTCCCAGCCGGGCTGCGGTTACGCCATCCTGCTCTGCACCTGGACCCAGCAGGACTCCACCGAGTCTGAGGACGACGCCCCTGCCACGCCGGGCAGGTAAACCCCGTCAGAGCCAGAACACGAGCTCGGCTGCTGGACGATCAGCTGCGTGTCTGTTCACAGTGACGGGCCGTCCAGAGATGTAGTTCTCCACCTGACCAGCGGGCGGATTCACAACAAGAACGTTTCTACTCACCTCATTGGCAGCATAAGCAAAGGTCATTAAATTATTTAACAACCCACTAGTTTTAGTACTTTTTCTCTTTGAATCCACATTACAACAAATTATTTAAACTTTTTGAAAATTATTTTCTAACTTTATCATTG